GCGAGTGTGTGTGCTGTGACAGTGTGGTATGTGTGTGGTGTTATTGTATGATGCGAGTATGTGGTGCACGTGTGTGGTGTGAGTGTGTGGTGTCAATGAGTCGTGCGAGTGAGAGGTGATAGTGTGTAGTGCAAGTATGTGGTAAAGTATGTGTAGTAAGAATGGTGTGTAATATTCGTAAATTGAGGCAAAATTATTAAAATAAACTTACAGCTTAGGCCCTCTTTCCAAGGAAAACTCGCAGTGAAACACTACAATTTTCCTCCTACCATCGTTGGCGCTGTTCCGGGGCTGGTCTAACAGCTGTTGAACCAGTTGTGGTGTGTACAGATTCATGGCCCCTGGGATGTGGCCCCCTTGAAACTCGTACGGGTAGCGGCAGTCGATCACCTGGAAATAATTAAAATAAAATTATTGAAAGCAACTAAGCTAGAAAAATCGAAATTCTGTGATCTCTATCTACTTCTTAATAAATAAAGTCAAGAATTTTTTTTTATAATATCAATTGACGGGACGAATAAGTCGCGCACCTGATGGTAAGCTACACGCCTGTCCATAACAGTTGCAGTGTCACGCAGAGCTTTAAAACGCAAGAATCTGAGGGCCACCGACATTGCGCCCGTTACCCTGAGACATAAATTGACAAGTCGCATGTGACTGTAATTTCACCTGCAACCTTAAGCTGGAAGACGTCGGTTCGAATCCGGCTGGATCGAAGGATTTTTTTTAAGTTTTCGATCTTTGTATTATTATAATGAACGAATGTATTCAAATATAAAATAGCAACCCCTAGAGTTTCTTGCTCATTCTTCTCTGGGGAACCTGCCTTACGAATGAGCTGCAGAGTCTAATCAACATAACGAATTCAAATTTAATTGTGTTACCTGTGAATAGATACATTTGAATTCAGTTTTGAGAATTATTCACTAAGAAAAATGTCTAAAACACAAACCTTAAATCTCCGTAGTTTATTTTCAGATGACAGTTTCGTCCTAGGCAACCTAAGCATTAGGTAGAAACCTAGAACTGACCTGGAAATCCCCGATGCAGTCATGAAAGTCCCCTTTGAGGAGACCAGCCAGGGTGTCAGCAGAGATGCACTTAAGATCCTGGTGGTCTCCGCTGACGAGGGGAAGCGCACAGGGAAGGGAGAAATCACCAATTAGGTCTGATTCTTCCGTTGCTGCAAAAAATACGAAAATGATCAATTAAGAGTTGTTACTACGGCTCTACGAGGCTTCTACGCACTTGTGTTATGGACATACGAAACAACGACTGTACCACGAACAACCAGACTCGAAACAATACAGAAAATTTAGTGTCTACATTGACCCGCTGGGGATCGAACCCGGTACCTCGCTACGTCAACACCATGAAAACTCGTGTGCTAAAATCGTCATTATCTATGATATCCGACATTTTTGTCGTAACTAACGTCATATCGATAAGCGACACGTCAATCCATAACAGTTGCAGTGTCACTTAGAGCGTTTAATCGCAAAGATCTTAGGGGGCTACTGTGCCCTTCACCCAGAGACAAGTTAACAAGTCTCATGGGCCTGTACCCTTCAAAACTGGAACACAGTAATGCTAACACTACTGCTTGGTAGCAGAAATACTTACACAAGAAGCTCTACTGCTACTAACGGTTACCACTTTGAACGTAATGTAACAGAATACAGTATATTGTTACATAATGTGGTTAATGATAATCTTAGCTAATAGTATTACTTGTTGTTTTTCAATTATCAGATAAACGATTTACTAGGCTTCCTACGAATCACATTAACTCCCGATTATGGTTTCTTTGTTTATGTTAATTATTCACTGTTATATTTAGCATATACCACATAGTTTAACCCTATTACGTCAGTTCCCCAAAAATTACTTAAATTTTGTCGTTTTTGAGATTGCGAGATGCCTTTAAAGGTCCGAGGTACGGATGCACACCAGAGGGCGACACAGGCCTAGGGAATATCAATTTCAAATGTTTAAAGCTCTAAAAGAATTCTGAAAAAACTGTGTAAACTCACATCTGGCAACAGCAGACATAATCGAAGCATGATTCTCCGAGAAAGCTCGTTGAAGAATCGGCCTTTGTGGTTTCTCCATCATCACCAAACTCTCTGGGCTGCCAGAATTAGATTTCCTACGTTTATTATCCATATTGTCCACATCAGTTTCTGTTTCTTGCCTCTTCTGTGATTTTTTAACATCAGCAATTTCTTTTATTGAGAACAACGAGACTTTAGCTTTAGGTTCCTGGTTCAGGCTGAAGCTTCTATGCAAGGTTGGTCGTTTCAAAAAGTTCTTTTCGGTTAAAAAGTTCTCCTTTATCTGGCCAGAGAGCAGATCATTGAAATTTGGGACTTTTGGGGAGTTTGATGTCTCTTCCAGGTCTAGAAACGGCTCTTCCAGTTCAGATATAAAACCGCTCTCCATTGACGTTGTGCTTTCTGATGTAAACAGCCTCAACTGACTACAACTCGGTGATGAAGCAAATGAAGCCATGGAACCAATGCTGGAGTCGCTCTGTTCATGCCTCAGCGGATGGTGTTTGGTGGGTGTTTCAAATTTATCGCCTTTTTTGGTTGGTGTCTCGTTAAATTTCAAAGACTTCTTCACTGAGAATGAAGTTTTTCGCGCTGCAGGGCTGGTAAACTCAAAGCATTCTTCAAAATTTAAAGATCTGGTCGCTGTGATGTTCGGTTTGTTGAAAGACGTTGACTGTTCATCATCAGCTAGTGGAGCACCAAAGACGAAGTTCCTGGAATCAACCTTCCTAGCGGTAGACCGTCCTCTAGATATAATATTAGGACTATCTGTAGAAATTATTTCGTATTTAGTGCACTGATCGAAATGATCGTTTTCAAACTCTTCTTCCAGGTCGTGCAAGGTCTCAAATTCAGGATCCAGGTCTTGAATGAGTTCTTTTTCAGGTACAAATGTGTCTGCTTCGGACTTTGTTGACATTTCGAAGGATGTTGATTGAAGTGCGTCGGTGAAGTCCAACTGGAAAGATAAATACAGAGATTATTAAACTTAATCCTTATTTTAAATCACCGATTAGTAGAATCTGGAAGACCAGAAAACCTGGACAATGCATCCAATCTATTATTAGGAAATTTCCATGATGGTGATCTGTTATTTAATTGTCTTCAAAAAAAGGAGGAGGTTCTTAATTGAGCTGTTTTTTTTTTATTTATGTACCGATTTTGATGATTTTTTTTGTTAGAAAGAGGATACTAAATGTTCCACCTCTAAGGGTGGCAAACCAGGGGATAAATCTGGTTACGCGCACTTTACGGTAACCGATTTCAATAAAACTTAGTAAAGGGATGTAATTCCACGCACTTTTGAGGTCGGTTTTTTTTTTACTTTTTGGTTGTTTCTACCTACGATATTTGGAATAATTTTGGAAATGATAAATAAGGACAAATGTTTATTTACAAAGAACATCCCTAACTTCATTGTCTCATTTTTAACAATAATAATAATATGGCACATATTGTCCGTAGGTTCTTGAACTGGAGTCCCTGGCCCGGCCGACTGAGCCATTGCTTCTCCAATTTAAAAATTCAAAATTTATCTTTTAGGCTATGGGAGAGGCGAGAATCTAAAATAGATATCTAGAAATTATAATAGAACAATATTATTATTATAATTATTAATACAAAGATCGAATACTCAGATCCTAAAAAAATTTGGTAAAAAGTTGTTGAAAAACCAAATACAAAGACACAACAACAAGCACATAGAAAAATTTGTGAGGTGCACTGGTTTGTGCCGTGGCAAAGTTGGCATGGTATGCTAGAAGACGTCGGTTCGAGTCCGGCCGGATGCAAGGAATTTTTCTAAGTGTTCGATCTTTGTATTAATAATTATAACAAACTAGTGGAGTAATTTTACATAAAAAATAATTGAACATCAATTCAATAAAAATTTAAATATTGTTATTAGTTAAATTAATAATTTTAATTAATTATAACGCACGCACACACTCAACATAGCCCCGCACTTGGGAAACCCTGTGCCTTGGACACACATAGACAACCACAAACTACACCCAAACTCACAAGAGAAATAAATGTAAGCCATATACATATGTCGCCTGGGAATCAAACCCAGGACCTCGGCATGGTAACCGTTCGGCCACGGAGGCAGTTTATAAATAGTTTAAAAGTAGTAGTTTAGTTTAAAAATAGTAAATAATATCATAGTTACTCTTCTCAGGGGAATCTACCTTATAATTGAGTATACTTTATCAATCTGACAATCTCAAGTGAATTTGGAACTGCTTCAGCGGTGACACCTCCCATAAGAATGTCCTACACAGACAGAAGAATCTAAAATGACTGACGACACTCACCTTTGTCATGGACCAATTAGTGCTGGTCGCTCTTCGGAAGGTGTCACTAAAAGTGCAATCCCTGGTCTCCTCTTCCACTTCAATCTTCATAAAGCTTTTGCTTAAAACATTCTCTTTGTTCGACATTTTGAAATTCGATCTATCTTCGAAGATTCTCGTAATTTTATTCGTAGAAGTTTTCGTTCGTTTCAAAGTAAAAGAAGATCTAGTTGTAACTGGTGAAGAGTTATTATCTATCAAAGGGGATTTCTTCAATGGTGTAAGTATCCTATCGATAACTGGAGAATTTTTTGGTAAGAATGGAATGTCAGATTTCTTTTGGAGAAATAAAGGAGACTTAATGTTTTCAGTGTTCGAGGGTCTGAATAATGAAGAATTTTGTATTTCGCCGAGAATTCTCCGCTTTGAAGGTGTGTGGGTTGGTGAATTTAGGGCCAGTGATTGTGGGAGCATTTTCAGTTTGTAGTTTGCTGTTACGGCTTCTTCTTTCTTGCGTTTTGTTGCGTTATTGCCTGAGTCTATCTTGAAGCTTACGGGTATTAATCTGAAATAGATAGAAACATACATTTAGACTTATTTATAGAATTGGAAATTGTTTACTATCATTTAGCAGGAGTAGAGCTTCTTGAAAAAGAGTTTGGCGGGCCTGTCCATAACAGCTACAGTGCCACTCAGAGCTTTAAATTGCAAAGATCTAAGGGTCATTACCACTACACCCTGAGACATAAGTTGACCTTTATTTATTTCTTACTGAAAGTTTTGAAAGTTATTTCTTTTCTCTTGCAAACTTAACTGAAATATGAAATAGCGTGTGCGGAATATGAAATATTATTAAAGTAAAATAAAAATCTTGATAAAATTATTTCTCCACCTTTTCACACGCTACTTCCAGTCTTTACCAGTAATGTAAGTTTAGCAGAATGTGTTTAACACATCGCCATTTTGTAAGCTTGAAAAAGTTTATACTTTTCGATTTCTTTTTTTGTTCAGAAACTCAATACTCAATATATTTATTGCATTCATATGGTATACATGTCTTAAATTTAAAATAATGCAACACATATGAGCCCTTTATTAGGGATAACAATAACAGCAGAGGTAGGCAGAGGTTTCAATTATTAATTTATATATATTTTATATATTATATATAGAATTTTACCAGCACCCTTACCCCTCAAAATCGGAACAGTAATGCTGACATTACTGCTAAGCGACAGAAATAGGTAAGGTGGTAGTACTATCCTGGATTAACTCTTTCACAAGCTCTACTGCTTCTTAAACCACAGCCTACCACACCTATTTCTACATACAAGCAGTAATGTGAGTATCACTATGTTCTGATTTTAAGGGTACTTGTGAAATTACAGGCAAATGGGATTTTGTAAAAAATAAAAACCTGTAAGTACCACAAATTTGGAATTTCTTCAGTTGAAAAATGAATTCTGGTCTACAAGGTTAACTTTGCAACTAAGGTAATTCTGGGGCACTGCCCGCAACACCCAGATCACGGGCCCATTTCTGCTTAATTACCTTGAAACGGTTGGTCATTGTAATTCCATTCAGACTCCACTGAGGTCATTTTGCAACAATGATAATATTTGTTGCTAAAATCTAGTTACAATGGCAGTTGAATCTCAATAGTGTCAAGGAAATGGCAGTGATGGCATTCATTTGTTCAATCATTAACAATCTTGTTGCCTCATTCAAACTACCATGGAAATTACTCATCATTGTCAGTCTACATCAACCTATTGCTGGGCATAGGCCTCTTCTTAATTGCGCCAATATTTACGATGCTGCGTCATTCGCAACCAGCGCGATCTGAAACCTGACAACATCGTCAGATCATCGGGCTGGTGGTCTGCCCAGTGACTTTTTTGCTCCTCTTGGCCACCTCCACCATATCCTAGTGATGCGATTTACCCACGTCATCGACCTTCAATTTACGTCGAAGTTCGACATTTGGTGCACAATCTACGATAGAAATGCCCGGCATAGAAAGCTCCATCGGTCCTTGTGCCATCTTAATTATGTGCATATTTTGCTTAGTGTGTGTCCATGCTTCCGCACCATAGGTGAGGAGGAGGAGGGTGGAAATTCATATCTTAATTTTTATCTCGTTTCATTTGGAAGATTAGAGACTACACCAATGACGTGCCATAGACTCACCATTGAAGAGCAGAAAACCAAAAAATTGCAATAGCAGTTTGAACAGTAGCTCTAAGGCTAGCCACTGACGAACCAGTGCTCTTACCCTTTAGCAGAGCACCAGACATAAAAAATCATGCCATTCACACGATTTGGACACACAACTGAGATGATTTAAAATTAGCAGATTTGGAGCCCTGAATCAATCTAGAAAAGTTACTTTTCCCTAATTAATCTTACCGGGAATCGTACCAGAAGCCTTCTCCATAGTGCTATTGAGCTATCACGCTCGTCAAATGATTGTCACTATTTTATTTTTATGGATTCTCGCCCCTTCCTAACCTTCGGTATTATCATCATTTAAAAGTCAAAATCCCACGAATAACCGACCAATAACTAAAAAGGATCGAAGATAACAATGTACAACTTACGACAACCCTTTTTCAAAGGGGTAGCTGATGACAATAGGTACGTTTTTTATCAAATCGAAATAACCTATAAAAGCTGTAAATAAGTCTCCTCAAAACCGGTTCGACGTACCTTTGAGATCACCTTAACTCGGTACAATATCCATTGTGCTCGTAATTTGAAGAATTTTTAACAAAAGAAACAAAAATTGGAGAAAGGTTATATGTTATCCTTTACGTCGTAATATTTCGCTGATTTTCACACGTGACTTCTAAATTTTCGAACTTAATATCACTTCTGAACGGTAATACATGATTTTGGAAGACTTTGGGTAAGTTTATAATGATAAAACACTAATTTGAGGTAGAAATGAATTAAATTCATGAGTCTGCCAATCTGCATTCGCGCGCTTTGCAATTTTTGTCAGCTGTGAGCTGTCAAACAGCCTTCGTTCAGGAACTTGGACAAAACAAGTTACATTCAAAAACTTAAAAGAATAATTTTGTTTAAAAAACGTTGATGTTTGTCCTGTGTATATTTTTAACCGACTGAAACGGAACTCAAAAAGAAGACAATGTTTTTTAAGTTCCAATTAAATTAAAAAATATATTTTTAAATCAAAATCGTTGATTTTTAAAGTTTTTTTTTTCAAATGACAGGTAGTAACTCTACAAGCCGTTAATAATTATCAATATTCAATTATGTAAATGTGATGTAAATAGCCATAGCCATTGCAGGGTGGAAAATAACATTGAATACTTCACAATAAAAAAAGATTTGCGAATCATCAAAACTTTACGTTGTTACAATTGGTAATAGGTATAGTCTTAAAATAAGCCTGTATTCAGCAGCGGTGAGATATACATAATGTGGTAAGTTGAAGTCCTTTTAGTGAAACTAACGATGTTTACAATGTAACGTTCCTAACGTTTAACATCTTCGTAGAAAATAGTTAATTATACGGATGTGGTTACATTACACAAGAGAAGCGATTCCTTAGAACGAAGTTGTTCCTTGGGACGCTCCAGCAACACCTGAGACGAGCAACCGGTCTTCATCCAGTATGTCGACCCAGAGAGTCCTCTCTTCACGTTCCGGTCCTCTCCCAACATTTCTAAATGGCCGAGTCAGGCGAAGTTTGTGCGCTTTGATTTCGCCGATGATGTTTGACTGGACGACGAGCTCTTCCATTTCAGTGTTAGTGAGGACTCTTCAGCTACTGCCCTTTATAATGGCCCTAATATTTTCCTGAGAATCCTTCTTCTAGTCACCAAGAGTTTGTTCTCTGCTCACAACCGTACATAAGAATGGAAATACGCTGTATGTCTTGGTACGCGGTATGGATTGTCCTATATCAAATGTGCAACCGTCTCCGCTACCCGCTCCGCTCGGTACCGTGTGTCATCGTCTTGCTGCATTGAATGCAGCCCCATGCATAATGCTCATGGGGTGTTTTTGCCGCAATAACGGTAAGACTTGGGGTGGTTAAGAAAGTGATTCCGTTACTTAGCAAAAACTGATTTTTTTCATAATATGAAAACACAGAAACGAATGTTTATTGGTGAACTTGCAAGTTTTTTTGAACAACAAAGATGGAGTTTTTTTTATTAAATTGATTTTCAAACGAAAGTAAGTATGATCCATATACAATGATAATAATATATATATGTAAAAAGGCAGATTATGTAACTAGAGCGTCCGTGTCGTATTCGAAATGAAACAAGTGTAATTTCTTTCAGTCAGTCTGCGTCGAGCAAACGGATCGACATTTGTAAAATTGTCATTTTGTTAAAATTTCAAGAAAATTTCTGTCGTGTGAATTTACAAAATGCTCTAATTACCATATTAAAGTAAATAATACACAAGATATCATGTTTAAGATTATACGCGTAGACGAAGTTTTCAAATGATTTCCATATTTCGTTATTTTTCGTCCAAAAACTACAAAATTTCTAGTTACTAAATTGCTGGAATTCCAATAACGTTATAAAACAGAAAATTTGGATGGAGAAATGTAAACAAAAATTACGAAATTATTTTTAGTTAACCGCCTTTTACGATAAATGGTTTTTTTAATATTTAAATCAGTATTCGTTACCAACCATTTGTTCTCATTGTACACATTAACCAAAATTCATTTATCGTTTAAAAACTGCATTGCTGAACATTTTATTCACTGAGACTGACCATTCAAATGCATAAAATAAATTTGTATGTTCGTAAATGACCAACATACATTTGCGGACGAAATAAAATGTCATCAAATATTTTCTTCAATGCGAGTTCAGATTTAAATGCATTGATAATATTGTATTTGTAGAAAATAACTGGTGCATCCAACTCTATTGTAAAAATAAAAATACTATAAAAAAAGAATCTGGTTTTTTCTTGTTTGCCGTTGAAACTTGGTTTCTTACAAGGAGAATTAATTATTGTGCTTTGAACAAGTTTCTGAATGTATATGAAAATCTCTTAAACTTATTTTTAGAACGAATTACGTGGTTTCAGATTAAAGAATTCCCCGTACTGTGAACACTACAAAAGACTGTTGTCTGGTACGGGCTCGAAACTCCTGGGACCTGACAATACAGGGTCTGTAAAGTCGTGGAAGGGATTTCGAAGCGCAGCGGGCGAAGCACAACCAACAAACGGCCGTTACTCCACCGACACGCATGAAATTTAGAATTTCGATCTGACTGAGGTATAAGATCACCATGTTTAGTCTATGTCCAGGGCCCTGCTTTCGAAGCACTAAATGCGTAGTTACGACCGTTTTCCCATTATGTACGACCAATGGGACTGCTCTTGAATTTCATCAAAGGAAAAAGTACTGCGCTTCTGTAGCGAATCGACACAGAGCCTAGTAATTATCGACTTGTTCATCCCGTCACTAGA